ATTTATTTTTTATTATAATTTAATTTAAGTTTAATAATGAAATAATTTATTTTTGGTTTAATAATATAACATTTTATAAAGATAATAATTAAGTGTTCCTAATTATATTTTAGATTTTTTATATTTAAAATGAGATGTTTGTCCTGTATTTGATTATGTTTATCTGCAGTTAGTTACACGAATTCAGATATGGAGCTTTAATAAGTTGTACTTATGCACAATGTACTTATAATCTTGAGTTTTAAGTAATATGCATTAATAAACAGTACTTTACACGCATAAAAAATGGTTTTTAAGAGTTTTTGTCAAATGCTTTATAATATAGTATAGATATAGATATAATATTTTTAATAAATCGATTTTGAAAATATGATATCATAAAAAAATTGTTAAAAAATATCACATGATTTAGTTGCACATGAACAATGACAGCATAAACAAGTGTTAACTTGGGTCATGTCATCAAAAATTCTCTTTATAGGTTGCTATTGCTATAATAGATAATTTTTTTTAAAATACTATGCTTTAATAAAAGATAATGTGAAAGCACATTGCTGCAATAAAAAAAAATGAAAGTACAACATAAAAACTAAAGTTGAATCAACTATACCTCTCGTGCTGTTACGACTTCATAAGCTGACACATGAACACTCGAACATGCTACAAACACAACACGACACGACAAGAAAACATTGATACAAACACGCCTCTCCAAAGGCTTTGAGATGCCCAAATCATTGGATCCTAGGCACAGTTGACAAAATGTACATCTTATCGTTATGACTTCGTGATCCTCAAACACGATGAGGAAACATCAATACACAATGTAGACATTTATACATTCACCCAAATCAAACAAACCAAGTATATCTCACCGAAGTCTCGGAGGTGGAATGCATGCCTTTACCTTGGAGAATAGAGCGTCTATTTCCATAAAAAAGAAAAACCCGACCCTTGAGAGACAATTAGACACCCATATTGCTGAATTCAACATTTCCAGTGAAACGATCTTATATTACAACTTCATAAGCCATGAAAACTAACGAGGCTTTCACACTAGTAGCTAATCAAACTAGGAGGAGGGAAGAGTAGTACCACCACCATGTGGGGTGTATGCACGATCTCGGCACTTCTTCCAGTATCTCCATGCCACCTGGATGGTGGTTGCCGCCAGGCCTCGCCAGTATGGAGATTCGTTCCTGAACACAGCAATCGTGGAGTACACAATTATAGAAAGTGAAATTGTATTAATTCACATATTGTTGGAGTCCAATATCAACTAGATACATACCATCAAACCTATATGTGTGTGTGTGTGTATGTAGAAACCTCCCACTCTCTTTATACGGCTCTTTTAGAGAAAGGGTATGTGGTTTCTTGTACATGTAAGTAAACACCATATATATTGCCACAAAAAACAAACACATCAATATAGGTTCTTCCTTTCCTTTCCCTCCTAAAAAGAACTTGAGAACACTAGATTTTTTCTTTCCTAAAATTTCCACCCTTATTTCCAGGAGGTCCCATGTTCAAATCCAAGGAGGAATAAAAATCCCCTTGTGGCCACGGAGGTTCGAATGCGGTGACTACGGGCTATCTGCAAAGCAGGTGGTTGCCCTGGGATTAGTCGGCTCGCATAGCGGGTTGGATATCCAGGTTAATCAAAAAAGAAAGAAAAAAGAAGGGACTCGAGAACACAACGTTAGAGTAACTTATATGGCTGATTAATAATCCAATCTCAACAATATTCATCCACTGATGGCATCATTATCGATGAAAAGTACATCTCTTTCCTATTTCTCAAGTTTGTAACCATCTTCTTCATTCTAACAACTCCTATCGCCCAAATAGTATTCTTCAAAAGTTCCTTCTTTGTGTTTTCAAGCCTTCCAGATCACGTAATTCATATGCTTTTGTTAGAGAAAGAACTTCGTGGCATGCATGTTTCGTCATCCTTCTTCCTTTATGTTAGATATGTTAGCTAGAACTAAAATGCTACGTTTGGCTCATGAGTAATCATGTCGACTTTGCTGGAACTTGAGTGGATTTGGTCACACATGGAAAGAAGTGTGGAAATTTTGTCGCTTAATATATATATATATATATAAATATCTTTGGATTAACTATCATATTATATATATATTCATGATGAATAATATTTCTGTATATTCATCATGAATAGCGGGTTCTTACAGTTCCTACATGGACTTTCCCCTGTATATATAATGGTCAAAAGGCCTTGGGGATCTTCTTTGCTGATCCAAATTTATTTGTATAATTATTCTTGTTTACGGATATTTATAACCTGCTAAAAACAGTTGGAAAAACCTGTCATTGGCAGTTATAGGGAAATGTATATATACGGAGGAAAATTCTCCACCATTTCTTGTCCTTCTTCCCTATCTCTAAAACAATCTCACCTATATATTAGTTCATAAATGATGCATGAATACTGTGTAAAAGATGCATTACCTTATGGCAATCTGAACACGGTGATTCCTCAAGAATCCAGCAAAAAGGCTGGTGACTTCTTCAAGATCTGCTGCCCGAAGAACAAATGCCTCAACATTTGTTAAGCATTCCACTGTCCTGTTGCTAAGCAATATGTATCTTGGTTTTATCTGGTTTCTTGTATCTGTGAGTAAACAGTATATTGCGACAAAAAATACATCAATATAGGTTCTTGTCCTTAAAAATAACAGGGTTAGCAATCTTAGCATGCAGATGTCAGAAGAGAGAAACTTCAATACAGATAATGCAACACTTTATATGCCTGTATAGTGGGTGGAGAAAATGGACATTGATCATTTCAACAAGCTAAGACGGTTTTCATTTGGAAAAACATAAGTCAGGGGCTGTTTGTTTCCCTCTTAATGGTGACATTAAGAGGGAGCCTCTTAATCGTTCAGAGGTTTAGACTGTTTGGCAAAAAAAAGAAACCTCTTAATGGTTACTAAAAGGCTCTTAACCATTTTGCATATGGAAAGTCTCTAAACCATTCAGAGTGTGGTTTTTCCAATTTTGTCCTCTCTCCCAATTCTCACAGGTCGCAAGCCGGACTTCATAGGCCCCTCCCCCACCCTCTCGTTGCCGGACTTCAAAGACCCTCCCCCACCCTCTCGTCGCCGGACTTCAAAGACCCTCCCCCAC